GCAGGCGGTTGCCCATACAAGCCGTTTTGAGAGGGGAGGGGGTTATATCAGAACCTTAGCTCGTCTACATCATCCTACATCATTTCTATCATCCCCCTTATGTAACTTCATTTCAATCCCTCTCTTCACATAAACCAGCCTTGCCACTTGGACTTCGCTCGAAAAAAGCTAATCTCACTCACGGATCTGCGGCAAGACTATTATGGAATGCAAACTACTTTTCTCTAAATCTGTACACCGCAGGCTAGTAAATGTAGCACCTTCGTGAACATCTGGAGCTATCTACAGGGGCATGCAAGATATTGCCTTGAAGACAGGGGGGTAAATTGATTTACGAAAAGAAATTCACGTTTTGTGCGGCACTCATATACAAATAAATTGTTACATTTATGCCAATACATTTACTAGTTGTATCTTTATTTATAATTTATATCCTTCACCCATTTTATGTATATATGCTTGCATACCTCCGGTTACATTTAAACTTCCAGCCAGATTGAGTGAATTAACTGTCACGTGAATGCCGTTAAATTTACTTTTTATCTCCATTTACTTTTTTAACTTTTCAGCTTTATTCATTCGTTTACATATCTTCGTCTGATTTTATACTTTAACCTATAATCTTTATTTAATTTTTTATTTCATCCCATTTTTGTTTTATTTTTATGTTTACTTCCTCCTATACGTTCCTTTCGCATGTGTAACTTCTCCAGAGGCACATTTGCTTCTGTGTTGGTCTCGGAACAAAGTCGAATGGAAACGTCTGGTCTGGGTCTGCGTTTAAAGGGCTAGTCCGGTTGGATGGGCTGCATTTTAGAGGAGATAGACCTTTGGATATGGACCCCTCAAAGCCGTTGTTGTGCCTCTGATAGCCTTTTCTCCCGCTACGCCCCCCATCCCCCGGCGCGGAAGACATCAACCCATAAGAAGTCCATCATTGCTGGATCTTTACCTGCTATTCTGGCCCAGATGTACCTCGACGACAAGGTCAAGTCGCCTGGACTTCGCCACTTATTTGTCGCTTCGATGGCGACGTTTTATGGCAGCCCAACTTTGGAAGTTGATAGAGTTTTTCTCTTCTCCTTACAGACGAAGTTCAGGCCTGGCGACGTGGCCAGAAGATGTGCTTTCAAAAAGGCGGAGAAATAAAAGACGTTTTCCATATGCCCTAGTCAATATGTCCATCTAAAGTGGAAGGGAGTTTGGGTCAAATGTATAAACATACGAAATTAAATAAATAAATAAATAATTTTCTTTAAATCTACCCGCATTTTCTGACTTGGTGCAGTGCAATATACTTTCTTTTCTTTTTGTACATTTAACGTGTGGCTCATTGAATATACAAGGACAATTTTATGGCATATTCAGGGTGGGCATGATGCAACGAGCCTAGCCCATCCCCAATTAAACAATGTAATTCGTCACTACACATGATTGGTTGAAATAAATTCAAATCTGCTTGACCTGTAGAATAAGAGCTCCTTGTTGCTAGGCTTTTCTTTGGGTCAAATGAAACTCGGCTTCTGGCAAAACCTATCGAAACCTAGACTCACCTTGGCTGTCTTACGTTTTAAGAGGAAGGAATTCTCAATTGCATATCACGCTTGATCTAGCATACACTTTCTTGAACAGGCAGAAGTTCATGGCAATGGTTTCCCAAAAAGGAAACAAATCGTATTGTCTGCCCAGGTTGTTTGGATTTCATCGTTAGGACGCAACCAGAACCTCAAAAGACATGTAAAGCATCAGAAATTAGCATCGGCAGTAGCCTCCCTTCTCCTGAAGGACGACAATATCCCATTCTTGGTCCCTATGATACCAAAAACATAATGGCTATCTTCACGTTTGGAGATCAGATAGGTTGTTTGTTTCCGCCTTTCCAAGATTGATATGTACGTATTCTCATTTTCCTTGTAGAGTGGGCTTCAGTGTGGGTTGAGATTCTACATTCATTGACCGCAGGTTTCTCCCATGAGATTCTCGCGACCAGC